GATCTCATCTGCCTAACTGGAATCGCTGCGCTTCTGCGCCCGGAACCGTTGCCGGAACGTCCCTGCGGCGTTCTCAGCTGCTGCTGCTGCTGATCTCTCGCCGTGCTCTCGGCCCCAGTACTGAACGCGAGACCGCTTTGTTTCGATGCATGCAGAGTGGACGCTCTACGAGCAGGTGGCTGTGGCCGCCATGGACTGCCAGCGTCTTGATGTCGCAAAGGTGAGGTGCTCTGGTTACGCAGTCACTGTTCTTCTATGACCAACTCTGGTCCGGTTCCATTCTCTGACCCGATGCAATTTTACTTTTGTCCGCTGAGGACGAAAAATTCAGTCTATCTTGGGTATGCCTACCATTATCTATTGATCAAATCGCCTCGTTTCATGGTTCTGCAGGATTGTATTGGAGTCCTCTCCAAGCAGTTTCCTGGCAGCGCTCGTGTTGGTAAGTTTGTTTGGCCCGTACAAAGGCAGTTTGCAGATCTAGTTACACTTTGGAAACTTTATTATGAGCAAAATCATCCAAAAGGGGTTGGTGACAAACAAGAAACATGTGGTGGGGCCAAGCTAATCCTTTCCAAAATTGGTTCAATGTTTTTCAAATGGGGAAAGGGTTTGTTCAAAGATTGGACTAAAGTCTGACATGAAACTTCAAAATTGTTATGCCAGTTCCGTAAATCTATGCCAGGCTGTGATTGTTTTTAAGACAGCTCACGTTGTCAATAGCCTGAGAAGTGAACTATGACGCGAACGGCGAAGACTATTACTTAAAAAAATGAAATACGCATAACTGCTCACCATATAATGCCAGATCAGTTATTATTGGCCTGGTGAGTTGATTTCTCTGAACAAATGTACCTGCACACTACTTTAGTATGTCAAGCCAAATGATGTTGTGGTACACTCGCTTGGAATATAAATAGATGTTGATCTTAGGTATTGTCTGGTCTAAAGTAGGAGGGCAAGGTGTTGCTTCAGGGTGAAGGTGTAATACATGACATTTTTGTTAACTAAGAACCAGTTACGGGTTACCTAAATCCTGTTGTACACAAAATCGATGTGAACACCTAAGTTTGGAACGATTCTTTTTATTCAAGTATGCCAGAATTGATATCTGTCGAGTCATATAATGCTGGTTATTACGCCCATCTTTCTGTAAATGCTGAACACAAAAAAAAAGGGCAGCCCCAGTGCATGTAGCTCCCGCTTGCGCAGGGTCTGGGGAAGGGTCCGACCACTTTGGGTCTATTGTACGCAGCCTTTCCCTACATTTCTGTAAGAGGCTGTTTCCAGGACTTGAACCCGTGACCTCATGGTCACAAAGCAGCAGCTTTACCACTGCGCCAAGGCTCCCCTTCTCTGTAAATGCTGAACACACTTGCTCTAAAATGCAGGCCGGCTAGAAGCCCTGCTGTTTGAGGCAAAGGGTGATTGGGCTGAAGCTGAAAGAGCTTATGCACTTATCCTGGAAAACAACCCATTTGATCAGGTGAAAATTTGGTGTGCAGGAGGAATTTGATTTTCTTTGCTTTCTAGAACCATTCAAATGCTAAGGATGGTACTTTTGTGTACCTTAATACGGTGTCATTTTATACAACAAATATCCTCCTTGTTTGGTTGTCAGATTGTCCATAAGAGAAAAATTGCTATTGCAAAAGCACAAGGTGACATGTCTTTAGCAGTTGATTATCTGAACAAGTATTTGGAATTGTAAGTATGCATCCACTTCTTTTATGGACCTGTTACCGCCTCCTATATTTTTCTTATTAGAACATATTAACCCTTTCCCTGTGTTAGATTCATGGCGGATCATGATGCATGGAGAGAGCTTGCTGAAATTTATGTTTCCTTACAGATGTGAGATGTTCAATCTTGATTGATTCAACATAATATGGTCAGATGTGAAAATACCAACTTATATGACGATTTTTTTGCCAGGTACAAACAAGCCGCCTTTTGTTACGAGGAACTAATATTGGCCCAACCAACCATTCCACTTTATCATCTAGCTTATGCTGAGGTAAGTGGACCAAGCACAGCCTTTCGTCCAAATAAATAGAAAAGTTAGAATTATCTGTTATGAAATTTGTCATTATTCTGTTGATGATTTACTGATGGTCTCTTTCTTCCAATGGTAAGTGATGAATGGTTGAATACCACATGAGACAACAATAACTATCAAAGATCCAATTAAAATGAAGCACGCCAATTCAACATTGAAGTTAACAAAAACGTTACAAAATAATTAAAATGAGCAAGGTTTATGAGTCGACGAGTCGTTCCGAGGTTGAGACTGATAGACTAAGCGTAACTAATCAACACTGAAGTTGCGACTCGTAGACTAGTTGACACTGAAGTGTAGTCGGCCATGGAGTTGGGACTCATAGACTAGTCCATAGACTAGTCTTGACTAGTCCTTTTACTCATAATCCATGATAATGAGACATAAGATTAAAAATAGCAAGTGTATTAAGTTTTGTAAGTTGTGTTTCTCAAGATAATGGTCCATGTGAGAGATGAATTGAAATGAGAAAATGACACACATCTTTATAAACCTCTCAGACACAGATGTATAATCGATGAAGTATTTTAACACCGACTTATAGGCTATCATATTATGCAATGAATCAACATGATTTGATGATTGGATCAACTGTGTATATTTTCTACCAATTGAGGTCCCACATCTAGTTATGATCAGCCATGAAAATCGATTTTAGTAATTTAAAGATAAAGACTGGCTTTCAATGAAGCTGTCATCTTAAAGGAGTTTTGTTTGGTATTTATTCAAGTTAGAAGTTTTTTTCTGTTTATTTTAGAAGTCATGTTGTACTAAGCGGACGGGGCATGGCATAGGCTGATACGCGTAATATGTAGCTTTAGGGTGGGAAACTGTAGGAGCTTATTCTTCTGGGGTCTGCAAAAAACGGAAGTTGCATGGTTTGTCTTACTGATTTTGTGTGGTAGGTGGGAGAGGGCATGCTGAGCCCAGAAGTAGAGTTTATTTGACGTGCATATATGGCAATACGATGATCAGTGCTATTTATTTGTTTAATAATCCTTCTGGTGGGATGCAAAATCGCCCAATGTTTCTGATTCATATAAATGACTAAGTCAAGCCAATTCTATGTCCTGATTCTGCCAAAGGCGCAGTTGATTTCATGCAATGCGAGTGCACAGCTTATCCTTGCTGAGTGTCGCCTCTTCTTTTATGTTGAAGGTTTTGTACACACTGGGTGGTTTGGAAAACCTTCAAACCGCTAAAAAGTACTACGCGTCGACGGTCCAGTTGACTGGGGGCAAGAACACGAGAGCTCTCTTTGGCGTGTGCCTGGTAAGATGGACGGACATCTTGGAAGGGTCGCAGTTGCCTTTATATTTTATTTATTTATCCACAGTAGTTAGTGATCCTTGATGCATATACATCCTTGATCCCCACAGTGCAGCGCAGCGATCAGCCAGCTGACCAAAGGACGGAACAAGGAGGAGGAGAGCTCGGAGCTGCAGAGCCTGGCCGCAGAGGCACTGATGAAGGATTACAAGCAGCGCGCGCCGTCCATGGAGGCGCTCGTCGCGGGCATGCTGAAGAACATGAAGCTCTCCTGATCTAACCCTTGTTGGCTTACAAGGGCTTTAGCTTTAGCTAGCTGAGCGAGCGAGCACTAGTGCCTCACGCATGCGGTGTGCTCTCTGTTTCGGAGACGGCAGATCCTTCCAGCGGCATTGTAAAACTTTATTTACGAAAGATCCTTGTTTCCATATATGTGGTTTTTGGATTTGTTTTTGTTGCCATAGTAGAGCAATAAGGAAAACAACACTGTATTATTGTAGTTTTGAATATAGACGAAAGTTTTGATCTGTAACAGATGAGTACGTTAAATCTCTAAATGGATCACATTTTCTTCTTCTTTAGATAGACTTTCAAGCCGTTCATGTATACACCTCTGTTCCTAAATAGTTTTGATCCACTTATCTACAGTATTTCTTTCATGTGCCTAAATACTACTACCTTCGTTTCCAAATATTTGTCTTTCTAGGCATTTTAAATGGACACAACATACGGATGTATGTAGACATATTTTAAAGCGTAGATTCACTTATTTTGCTTTGTATGTAGTCACTTGTTGAAATCTTTAGAAAGACAAATAGACAAATATTTAGGAACGGAGGGAGTATTTAGGAACGGAGGGAGGGAGTACTAGTACATCTGTTTTTAAATGTAAGACGTGTTGACGGTTTAATTTGCAGATCCTAGCTTACCTTCTCAACTTTACAGCACAAGAAGTGTCTATAATGCGTATTCACAGTTTTCATGAGATGGTGGCGGTATGTTCCTGGTATCTCTGGTGGGAAAGGAGAAAATTCGAATTGTGCAGTCAGTTCGGGCTCTTGCATTGAATTTTATCATTGCATGTGATGCAGATGCATCAATGAAGAGAGGAGGATGGTGCAAACCACCGAACAGAGTCGTCAAACTGAACGTCGATGCAGGCTTTGACATTGACATGCTGAACGAGGCAATGGAAGCAGTAATCAGAGACGATAGGGGCCATATGATTGTCGCTGGAAACAAACTGGTTGATTCATGTTCTGATGGCGGAATTGCATTGACAGGCGGATTGTAACAAAATTGTGGTAACAATCTGAAGCTGATGCGTTTGGTTACCTGCATTGTTTTTTTAGCAGTTTGCATACTTGTTCCACGCGAGCCCGGTTGAGCTAGTGAAGGCAAAAAACCATCTACACTTGGTTTGGCCGCCTGCATTATGGGAGCATTTTTTCCTGCCGTTTGGTTGCGTGCATTGGCTTGGCAGATGCAAGTGCCCGGTGTTTGGTTGCATACACGCAACGTGATTAAAAGTTAACACCTACACAATACACACTGAGTTACAATAGAGTTCTTGGTAGCGCGCTCGTGATGGCGACGTCAGTGTAGGCCGAGGACGAGGTGACCGAGAGGAACGATGCCGACAGTTTGCGCCGGCCACAACATGGCGTCCATCCGACAAGGTTGACAACTACACATAACACTAGCGACGCAACAAGCAACTAGTTCGCCACGCCCCCGTCCACCTTGCCGCGCCGCCCCTGCTTTTCTGGGTCGCGTGGGGGCCGTGATGGAGTCATGTACCTAGGGTAGGGTCACAGACCTGATCTAAGTACCCTGCCCAAGGACACCCTTAGAAGAGATCACCTTCCAGTCGACCTACGAGGGACTCACTCGACTGACTTGAAGGACTCGACCACGAAGACTCACTCGACCACCAAAAGGTCAAGAGGCACTATGCACTGCAACGGTCTGTAATTAAGTAGACTTTATGATAGTAAAGACACTTTATGTGGGGCGTTATCAGTAACGCCCTAGACTTAATGTACCTTAAACCCTTCATTACGTGGGTTGGCTGGGGTCCTGGCGCACTCTATATAAGCCACCCCCCTCCACAGGCAGAAGGGTTCGACACCCTGTAATCCATATACACATAATCCACTCGACCGCCTCCGGGCTCCGAGACGTAGGGCTTTTACTTCCTCCGAGAAGGGCCTGAACTCGTACATCTCTTGTGTTTACAACCTCTCCATAGCTAGGACCTTGCCTCTCCATACCTACCCCCCACTCTACTGTCAGACTTAGAACCACGACAGTTGGCGCCCACCGTGGGGCAGGTGTTTTAGCGATTTTGTGGAGAAGTTGCGATTCTTCCGAGTACTTTCATCATGGTAGCTGCTGGAGTTTTGGTCGAGGGTCGAGAGATTCGTCTCGGTGCTCTCACCTTCGTCGCCGACGACTCCGCCTGGCTTCAGGAGGCTCCACTCGACGTCGATGCGCTCCCCGTCCGCGGTGCGATGCATTTTCGCGCATGTGTCCGCGGCGTTCTGCTGCGGCAACCGTCGACCCCATATCGGTCGACTCCCCTATCGACCACCCTCCCGGTCTCCCGCCAGCGCAAGCGCTCGGGTCGGTCGAGGCTTCAGCGGTGGGTGAGACACGCGGTGGCTCGCCAAACGGCCACCACCCAAGTTGCGGCAATCGAGCCCGACGAATCTCTCTACAGCCTGTTCGATCTGTCGACTGGCTCCATAGAGACTGCATCCGAATGCGATAGCAGTGATCCAGCGGCGGAAATCCTGATGGTCGACGGGCCTCGCAGCCCCCCTGGCTTCGCCCGTGATGGTGGGGCAGGCGACGGAAGCGACCCCGCACGAGACCACGAAGAGTACCAACCCGAGCCACTCGACTCTCTGCAAAGAGAGGAACTTCGCCGCAGGAACATGGATGCCCTGCATACTCCCATCGCAGGAGAAACCCCCGAGGCTCGCGCCTTGGAGGAGGCACGTTTGGCCAATCTGGCCGAACGCGCTCGCCTGGAGAATCTTCAGCGAGCACTCGACGAGCGCGCGCGGCAACGAGTTCCCGACGCCAATCGACGTCAACTCTTCCCGCCGACTCAGGTATATCGAACCCCAATCCAGAATTTAGCAGCTGCGACCCGTATAGCAGAGTCCATCCAGCCCTCTTAGTCGGAAGCTGGCAGAGGCTTGATGCAGATCAGGGATCTGCTCCGGGCAGCAGGAGATCAGAATTCAGCCGTGTCGCAGTCGTGCAACAGAATTCACAGTCGATCCGTCGCTGCGAATACGGTTCAGTCGGCTCACAGTCCCAGATCGCCTCCGCGGCGTGAAGGGCGCGAGAATCGGCGAGACCAACATGGAGACCGACACGACCGAGATGATAGGCGTCGAGTGCCCACTTCCCCTCCGAGGGGTGGGTCTTACGCTCCTCGGCAGCAAGATGACAGACGTCAGCTCGGTGCGGGGCGAAGAGTTCCAGTCGACCCCAGAGAACCAGGCTTCGACGCGCGATCCATTATCGTGCAAGGCTTGGTCGACCGGAACAGAGCTCATCGAGGTGGACTCGACAGAGATGCGCCCACGAGCAGTCGAGTGCATGTTTCTGGTCCGGAATGTTTCAGCAGAGCTATCAGAGCCGCAGTGATTCCTCCCAATTTCAGGTTGGCAACAGGAGTCAGCAAGTTCACCGGTGAGTCTAAGCCTGAAACTTGGCTTGAGGACTACCGAGTGGCGGTTCAGATTGGTGGTGGGAATGACGAGGTGGCCATGAAGCATTTGCCCCTCATGTTGGAAGGTTCTGCCAGAGCGTGGTTGAATCAGTTACCTCCTAGCAGCATTTACACTTGGGAAGATCTGTCCCGAGTGTTCGTCAGAACGTTTGAAGGAACTTGCAAGCGACCGGCTGGATTGACGGAGCTGCAAGTCTGCGTGCAGAAGACCAATGAGACTCTCAGGGAGTATATTCAGAGATGGATCACTTTGCACCATACTGTGGAGAATGTGTCTGATCATCAGGCAGTCTGCGCCTTCAAGGATGGTGTCAAGAACAGAGAATTGAGTTTGAAATTTGGTCGAACCGGAGACATGACCTTGAGTCGGATGATGGAGATTGCTACCAAGTACGCCAACGGCGAAGAACAAGACCGACTCCGAAGCGGCAAGCACAAGCCGAGCCAGTCGGAAAAGGGAAACACCAGTCGGAAACAGAAGCGGAAGGCTGAACCGACAGCTCCTGGAGAGGCTCTGGCCGTGACTCATGGAAAGTTTAAAGGGAAACCAAAAGGATCCTGGAACCCTAAGAAGGTAAAGGATAAAGAAGGGAACGACGTGATGGATATGCCGTGTCACATCCACACGAAGAAAGACGAAGAGGGGAATATCATTTACCCAAAGCATACCACTCGCCAATGTCGACTCCTGATCCAGCAGTTTCAAGGAAAATAGTATAAAGACAAGGAAAAGGAGTCGGACAAGGCCGAAGACAAGGAGGACAGTGAGGAAGGATATCCGCATGTCAACTCCACTCTGATGATCTTTGCAGATGTGGAAAGCAAGAGTCGATTGAAAGTCATTAACCGTGAGGTGAACATGGTTACCCCAGCAAAGGCAAATTATCTGAGATGGTCCCAAACACCCATCACATTCGACCAATCTGATCACCCGACTCATATTGCCACCCCTGGGAGGCAAGCTTTGGTGGTCGATCCAGTTGTCGAAGGCACTCGACTGACAAAGGTGCTGATGGACGGTGGTAGCGGGCTGAATTTGTTGTATGCAGACACACTGAAAGGAATGGGCATTCCGATGTCCCGACCGAGCACCAGTAACATGAGCTTTCATGGAGTTATACCAGGGAAGAAAGCCGAGTCACTCAGCCAAATAGCTCTGGACGTGGTGTTTGGTGATTCGAAACATTTACGCAAAGAGAAGTTGACGTTTGAGGTCGTGGATTTTCAGAGTGCATATCATGCCATTTTGGGGAGACCAGCTTATGCACGGTTCATGGCTCGACCATGTTACGTGTACCTCAAATTGAAGATGCCCGGCCCCAAAGGCGTGATCACTGTCACCGGTGATCGGAAAAAGGCAGAAGAGTGCTTTCAGAAGGGCTCAAAGATTGCTGATTCCCAGGTGACAGCGGTCGAGTTTGAAGAATACAAGCAAAACGCAGATCCGAGTGATTTGCTGCGATCCAAGAAACCCGCCACAGAATCTGCATTTCAGTCGTCCGGTGAGACGAAGCTTGTTCACATTCA